ACACAGCGGTATCCTGCACCCCACCATCGCCACGCTCGTGAGCACGCCAGCGCTGCCATGGATATCCATGTGTCACACACGCAGGCCCGTACCGTGCGTCGACTTCGTGAAGGCGCGGAGTGGGCTTGGCCATGTGTGCGTGGAGGAGCCGGATGGGGGTCTTCTCTTGAAAGGGAAGGCGACCGGTGAGGAGCTGGAAGAAGGAGACGCCGAGGGAGTAGAAGTCGCTGCGGTGGTCGATGCTCTTTGACTCGGTCCGCACCGACAGCTCGGGCGGCAGGTAGGGCAGGGACCCGAGGGCCTGGAAGGGCACGCGGCCCTGGTTGGTGTCCTTGCTGCGGATCACCACCGAAGCGATGCCCAGGTCCGTCAGCTTCACCACGCCCGTCTGTCTGTTCCATATGATATTGGCGGGCTGGATCACCACACACACGCACATGCACGACCGCACACGCAGCAACACGAGCCCAGTCCGAGAGCGACGCTCGTGGTTAGTCAGATGGCCAGGCTACGAGGCCCACGCAAGATGGCTGACAGGAGAGAGCTTGCAACAGGCTAAAGAAAGAAGGGAGAGACGTAAATCTACACAAAATAAATTGGGGATAAAAACTTTTGTGTACCTTGATGTCCTTGTGCACGATGGAGTGACTGTGGATTTGGCCCAAAGAAATGGCGAGCGAGATGGCGATGTCGATAAATTGCTCGAGATGAGCGGCAAAGGGGCCGTCTCGCTCCAGACACTTGAACAGGTCATCGCCGCCAAAGTCCTCCAGGACGAGGGCCTCGAAGTTGTGTCGTGAAATGCGGTCGTAGATGGCGACCACGCCCGTCACCGTCTTGAGACTCTCGACGATGTTGTACTCGTGTTGGAAGTTGCTGAGATGTCGTGGCATGGGGAACGAGAGGCTCAGCACCTTCACCCGCACGGGCACGCCATCCTTCTGCCGCACGCATTTGTACACCTCCGAGCTCGACCCTCGATCGATCTCATCTGATGTGAGTCGATACCCGGCCTCCTCCACGAACTTTGCATTCTCCATGTTCTTCATTCTTTTGCACGCTTCTCTCCTTTTTTAAAATCCAAGATGCTCGCTCCTCTTTTCCGATGCCTTCACCCCACCAAATCGGCCGAGGAGCGCGGAAAGGAAGGGGGCGACCCAAGGACTCGATGGGATGAGGAGCTTCGCGGTCTAATCAATCGCCAAAAAAGATTAAAAGACGCCAGGCGCCAGCAGT